TATTTTTTTTTACATAATTCACAATTTACGTTAATATGTGATGAAGTTAAATATTCAGTCAATGCAAAATTGATAACATCATTTAAGTCATTGAATCTACATGATTTAATTAAATTTTTTTGATACCATCGACAAAACTTCTAAGAGCCGCCTCCATATATACAATTCGTAATCTTTCCGATATTTCTTGCCCTTGAGAATTGCAGTCTTTGTTTAACATTTTATCAACTATATCTAAAATTCTATCGCCAAAGGATTTAACAGATTCATTTGAAAATTGGTTAACATTGACAAGTTTAGCATACGTATAAAGTGGAAACAGAAGTTTGGTCATAATATTCTTTACATAAATGTGTTTTTAATACTGAATAATTTGCAATTTTATTACGGATAACTTTAACTAATACTTTACTTGGTAACTTTCTTTTTACCATTAAAAATAATTTATGTTCTTCCTCCGGTAACAAATTTACATGTAACGAGTCACATGCATCAATAAATGCACGTACATTGGTTTCATTTTTATCAAAATTCGGAATAATAGCTAGAGCTAAATTTAAATCTAATTTATTTTCATTACCATTACCGATTGTATTCTTCATCTTGTGATTGAATGGTCCCTTGCCCTTGCTTAGGTATAGATCCTTATCCAGGTTATCCGCTAGGCTCGAATATACACAATAGAATCGCCTTCTTGGAAAATTACCACTGCTCGTTCCGCGTCTCAAAATAGCGTGGATGAATCACTTTTCAAGCTTTGGTTTAATTTCTCATAGATAATATTGATAAAAGTTCGGTAATGCACTTAATTACTCGGTTTTAACACATTATTTTAGTTTTATTTGATGATTTGTTTTATTATTATTGTATTTTATACTGGAGTACTATTTTATCATAGTTTTGGTTTTTATTTATTACAGTTATTAGTTATTGATTGATATTTGTAGAATAATTAGTTATTATCTTGTTTATTATTTAGGAACGCGCCAATTATCACCACAATTTTGATTTTTTTTTTTTTTGATTTATTATACATAGCAAGCTATACAAAGTACATTCAGCTACATTTGTTACAGTAATATAATAATTGACGCCGTGAGAAGGATCGCTATCCTGCGATAGCGCCTTCATAGATTTTAAGTTATATTTTGTAGTAAATCTTTGCAGATTCTTTTTTTGAGACGCTTTGGTGGAAAAGGCTTGAGCAGATCTAACGCTAATACGTTTGGATGACGACTTAGACGAGCTTTGTATCTGGTGCAGTAAAGACTAATTTCTTATTCTATAGTTCGAATTCTAAGATCTTGATGTATCAACCAATTGGGAACGTATTTTGGAGCGTTCACGATTTCTTTCAAAATTTTATTTTGGAACCTTTGTAGAATAGATATGTTCGATTTACTGGCCGCACCCCATAGTATTTTGATATCTTAACACTTAATTTGAATTCACTAGTTGAAGTTTGTTTTCACACACACATTTTTTTATTATTTTATTATAGATTTCGGAGTAGGTATCGTAATTAGCTGCCATCAAATGAAGAGATATTAATTTTTTACCTGATTCGGCCCTAATTGTGGGATATGGGTCGATTTATAAAAGTTTTATATAAATGGTACCAACATACAAGATTAAATTACAAACATATTTTAATGAAAATGTGTTAAACATAAAATATTATAATGAATACATAATAGTTCTTAAGAATATATATTAAAATAATATAATAAAATTATATATATATATATATATATAATTTATTATAATAATAAATTGTTACTGCTTATTAATTTCTCATTTTGCTAAATATATATTATTTTATAGAACTAGAAGAATTTTTGATATTACCTAATGGAGCAGTAGGAGTTCAAGATGGTGTTTGGACTGTTGAGAGAACAGCATTTTTAATAGAATGTTTCAGAAAATATAAGCCAAATGTTGGTTCATTAGAAATGAAAACAGTGAGGGCTATGTGGATTGTCATCAAAAATGACATGAATATTAAATTTGGCATTACATTTACTGAAGGCAATATTGAAAATCGTTGGAGAGTACTTCAACGAAATTATAAAAAACTAGCTGACCCGGCAAACGTTGTTTTGCTAAGTAAGGTATATTCTAAACAATTTTTAGAGAATCAAAAATATTAATACTTTAAGTGTATACGGATGTGTTGTTTGAATGCTATAAACCCCATTAGTTTGTCTATATTTTATCAATACAATCAAACTGGAAGTTTTATACCCTTTCTATAGAAAACATGGTATAATCCAATCCAAGTCATTTTTGGTCTTTCAACATATGATTACGTTTCAAGTTTGTCAGATTCTTTTTGATTCAGGATTTTGTGTATAATTGTAAATAATACTACTGAGCTAATACAAATTTTTCAAATTTCTGCGAGGGCAGATAGAAAATGAATTAGGTATTTCTTCTTTAACCTGCTTTTTGAAAAGTTTCAAGTAACATTCGATGAATTGAAGTAAATTTAATAAAAATTATAGAGCAGAGCAGTGCGAGGCACAAAGGTCCAATTTGACTTTGAGCATATATAAACTATATTATGAAAAGCAAACCAATCATATCACAAATAACACATTTCAAACGAACAATTATCTGACTATGTTCAGTAAAACTGCCAGCTACTTCATCGTTGTAGAAATGTGCTTTTTTTGCTGTCTTTCAAAAAATTTCAAAGTTATCTAGACATTTTTACCCCATTTACCCTAACTTGGAACGGCCAGGTGGCAAACAGGTTGAATGTCTTATTTTAATTTTAAAGATATTTTACAAAATAATTACACTTTTAACCAATGCTAAAAAACTGCCAACGGAAGAAAATACTTTTATTATGAATTTTCAAAGATTACAGTTTATCTCCAGATAGCAAAGTCATAAGAATCAAGGTTATAGCTGGTTATGTATCTTTTTCCCTCTACTTTCAAATATTGTTGTTAAACAATGCTTAACTTTACTGGTTTTTGATCATCGCTGGTGGACCTTTTTAACCCCGGACCTTCATATATTACTATCTAATCTTCGATAAATTCTACGAAATTATAACTGGGAAAATGTTATTTGGCAAAATGTCTCCTTGATCGATACCAAATTTAGGTTTTGAATTTAAATAACTTAAATAAAAAATAATATAACCTAGAAAATGTTTTATAAATACATACTAATGAGTATATAATTATACAAATGAGATCTATCAGAACATCGTGTTTGAGAAAAATATGCCAAAAAATGCATTTTCATATTAACATTTCAAAAAAGTTGATATTTAGTTTCTAGTAACACTTGCGGCCCGTTTACTAACGTTTTTATATATAAATAAAACTACAAACAAACCTACTTATCTTAATTAAATAATATTCACGTAAAGCATCCTATTAAATGCAATTGAACATCATCTGTCAAAATAGTTTGACATTTCAATTATTAGCCACTGTCCATTGTTTTATTCAAATTACGTTTCTACTAAAATTTTCAAATTAAAAATGTAAAGTTTCTACGCGGATTTGAAATATTATCTCACCTTTTGGACAATCTCTGGATTGGCACGAATTTTTCAAGACTAAGACTGGCCAAATCCATTCAGCCGTTTTCGAGTTTTATTCGGACATTTGAAAGACAGCTCCATTTTTATATATAAGATATGTTGACAGTCAAGCTACTGATATGAATAATAATGTAAATATATAAAATAATTTTATACATATTAACAATTATGTCTAATAGGGCAAGGAAATTTCAATTTCCAGTATGCTGAAGAGTTTGATGAAATATATGGCAATAGCCACAATATGGAAATAATCTGCATACTGGAAACAAATGATGTACATAAAATGGAAAACAATGCAGAAGCGCGGGATGATAGTGCATATGAATTTTGAGAACATATTGCAACTTCAAGAAGAAGGCAGCGCCGTAGAAGGCAAACAGTATTAGAGAAAATCCGAAAAGATAGATTGAAGTTCCAAGAACCAATTATACAAATTGAAGAAGCAAAATTGAAAATTCTAAAACGAAAGTATGGAATGCTTTAAAATAAAATAATATTCATAAATTTTCATTAAATATAATAAATAAATCATTATACAATATAAATGCCTGATTTTAATTTATTAATTCCATATATTTATAAAATATTTGTATCGTTTTTTTTAAACCAATAATAATTTCTGTAAAATTAGATTGTAGCTATAAACTATTTAAAATGATATTCGAGTGTCGAAAGAAAAAAACTTCGTATATGCTTCTTATTTGCACGATAGCTCACTCATTTTACACGCAAAAAACTTGTAACAGCACTCATTTTAAAGCTTATGTTGAGCACTATAAAACCCAATTTCACCGAAACGCATAAAATGTAAAACCTCGACACTAGATGGCTTTAAATACAACAATTAAATCTTGAACGAAATAAAAAACAACTTTGCTCTTTCAAATCTTTCTCAATATTTTTCCTAGAAAAATTTATGTAATACCGATTTATTAAGATTTTTACTGACATTATTTTGTTCATTACATGATTTTCGTTAAAATGTATATTTTAGGAAATATTTGCAAAAAAAACGAAGAAAAACGCCAAAATATATGAATCTTTAGTGGCCAGTAACTTGAAAAGTATTAGTTTTTTTGAAAAACTATAAAAGACATTTTTTCTTATAATTAGTTCTTCTATCGATTTCCGACGTTATTTTGAAAAAATGTAATTACACAATTGAGAGGGGGTGTCATCCCCCTGGGCGGTGATGTCGCAACCCGAATTGTTTTCACTTTTGAACTTGAGGGTAAGATGAACCTAATTCCAAAATTTCATTCAATTCGGAGCACCGTAAAAAAATTCAGACCTAAAACGCTCCGTTTACTGCACTAGAAGCCTTATGGGGTTCAATAACTTGATATATGTAATTTGTTATTTCATAATAATGTTAGTCGTGTAGTAAGTTAGTAAGTTCTATTTTTTCACAGGCATTCTTCTCGAAAACATTTGTGTTTTGTTGAATTAACTGTTACCAGAGGCTGCGGCATCTTCTTGCTCGTTTTTTCTTTGTTTTTCACGCATCAGCTCAGCATCCCTGTGTTTGCGTTGCTCGAATGTCATTCCCTTTTTATCTGTGCTACTTTTCTTCTTGGCTAAGTCGGTTTGTTTTTTCTGATTCTTAGCTCGTGCTAAATCTCTTTGATTTCCTCTTGTCATTTTTGTTTACTAAAATCTTAATCTCCGACTATCAAGGAAAGAAAAATGTAATGATTTTGCAAGCGCTCGCCGCCCTTCTTGTTACTTTTAGTTTTTATGAAACCGACAGCCCTAAGACTAAAAAGCAAATACAGATTTGCATTAATAAAATATATCTTAATATATATACAGTTAGTGTCACGTTATTTCGCTGCGATGGACGCCTAAAATACTGAACCGATTTAAAATTAGTCTTGTTCATCGTGCACATGTGGATCTCATTTAGGCGGTAGAGTATATTAAAATCAATTTATAGCCGAAATTTTATATTATTGAAAAAAAAAATGTTGACGTTTATCCGAGAAATCGTAGTCATAGAATCAGTTAGAGCTCTGTCGAGAGTCTAGACCAAAGACCAACATTTGTGGAATCAAATTTATGAACGAATGGTTTATGAAATCATATGTTTGCTTGAAGATCATCCCGCTTATTGCAAGAGAAGTTTTAGCAGAGAATATTACGTGATTTCACTCGCGGTGCCCATCCACTAGTCAACCAGGCAACTGAGCAATTTATGACCAAATGACCAATAAATGTCCAGTTGTAAAAATTTTCGGTGCCTCAGGCGATCGAACAAAATTTCATTCATATTTCTTGAACATTAGAGAAAAAAGTATGTATATTTCGAACGTGAAATGTGATAAAATCGTCTTTTGCTGCAAATTTTAGTTCGTTATCATTTTATTTAAGCATTTATTTTTTATATAAAAATTATATTAAACTTATTTATATTAAATTAATTTTGTACATTTGCAACAGGTGAATTTGGAATGAATTTTGTCGCAAATATATAGCTCAAAATATTGTTCAAATGTAGACCAATAGCAGTTATAACAAATTATTTGCGATTTACATTATATTAAAACCTAATTTTAACCTGAAACATGGCCTTTAATCTTGGAATATACGTCTACATTTACAATAATGCAGATACGAGAAAGGGTCGTGCAATGTGGATTTCATAAGTGAAATTAAATTCCAAACCAATGACTCACATTTTTGAGGTGCAATTAAAAATGGATAACTTTTTAAACAAATTCAATATTATATTCATTTTTGAAGGAAAAATATAAAATCGTATATATAAATATATAGAAAGCATTGCTTAAAATTATTTTAGTTTGACTATTATAATCCTGTGAGAAAGTTCTATTAGTTGGAAATCTGAATAGGAAAATATAGGTACATATTAGTTTTTAGTTATATATTCAGTTATAAATAGCACATTCTGAACAATTATTGATGATAATTTTGATGGATGTATAGATATGGATTCAGAAAATTTCATAGTGAAATTTATAGAAATGTACAAAGCCCATACTTGTTTGTGGTCAATAAGTGACGAGGCATATCATAATATACAAATGCGCAATAATGCGTTAAATTCAATGGTGCCGGCATTTAAAGAAATTAATCCAGATGCAACTATAGCCACAGTGGCTAAAAAAATTAAAAGCATTAGGAGCGTTTTTAACAAGAAGGTTAACAAGGTATTTAATAATATTAAAAACTTCACAATATAAGGAAAATATTATCAAAATTAATTGTTAGTTTAGATGATTTGGACTGTGTTAAACAAACAGTATGTTATTCTAGATAAAAGCTTCTATGCGCTCGGGCTGTAGCGCACAAAACGTGTACAAGCCAAAACTCTGGTACTTCGATCATCCTAAATTTTTAGATGATCGACACTACCCAAACATGAGGTCTCTGTGCAGGAGTTCAGAAGAACTTTCAGACGCGAGTATTTTTTTTTATCATATGACAATGACAATCTTACAATTAAATATATATATATATATATATAAATCGCAATTAGTTTAATACATCAATTGATGTGGCATGGCATTAACAATTTTCTATCAGAGCATACGACGATAATGAATTGGCCAAATCATAATTATCAATAAATTATATGTTGCATTTGAGTTGTTCTTATTTAAAATATTACTTTATACTATGTAATGTGTTATGTACTTTCGGAGTACTTTCCCGAAGTGTGTGTGCTCCTCTATGGTGTGTATACGCATGATGTCTGATCCTTTTGGAACAGAAGTGTGTATCTGTGTGCGAATCGGTGTCTGGCTGTAACTTGTTGAGTGTTGTATATTTCGGCGTGGTATTAACTTGGTGAATGATTATTAAATATATTTGTAAACAAGTAATAAGGTGTTTTATTAATTAAATAATACTAGAGTAAATCTAGTTTAAAGCTCAGAAGTGGGATTGGATCGGAACGTCGAGGATTTATTGGAGAACATTTTGGAGTGGATTATTGAGATAGGCGATTTCAATAATCTTTTGGGGTGCCCGTGTTATTAATCAGGCGGATTATAATTACGAGGTGCGATAGAAAGCAAGATGTGCTACTCTATCGTACAAGTGCAGGTGTTATTTTGTAAGTTTTGTGTGGTTGTGCAGAAGTGAGGTTAACACATGATTAACTAAAATAAGAACAAAGTGGAAGAAAATATCGAAAGCATGGCGTGATATTGGCGTTGGCGAGTCGCGGAGCTGCGATATTTGTAACTAAAAACTTGAGATTGCAAAAATAAATTAAGATTGAGAGCTCGGTGCCAGAAGCCTTAAGAGTGTTATCGTTGACAGATTTTATTATTCTTATTAGGGCGACAATCGGTGATAAAAACGAGAGCATCTCGAGCAGCGAATTGTTAGCGACGATACCGGTATTCGACGGATCGTCTGAGCAATGCATCGAGGCATGGTTTGAACGCGTTGAGGCCGTGCGTGACGCATACGAGGTGGCTAAGAAGAAGATGGTGGTGCTGATGATATCGAAGCTTTCGTGGCGCGCGAGACAATTATACGACAGCAAAGCAGAGTATGCAACCTCTTTATATGATGAGCTTAAGAGGGCGCTAACAGCATTTTTCAAGAATAGAGAAGACCGGATGACTCGGATGAGAAGGTTCGAGTCTCGGAGGTGGCGAAAACAAGAAACATTTAGCGCATACTTCCAGGAGATAATGGTGCTAGGGAATAGGTTGGGTTTTATCGAGTCTGGCCTGCTAGCCTATATGATAGACGGCTTCGACAACCCGCCACTCCAGGCTCAAGCCAAAATGAACCAATTCAAAGATTTAGCGACCCTGCTAAGTGTGATGAACGAGCTGACAGCGGAGGAACGCGGATTCAATATGATGCCACCTAAGAGGATACAGTCAACAGGGTTCCCTAGAGTGGAACCACACGGTGCATATTCCCCGGTGAGGTGTTTTATTTGTGGTAGAGTAGGACATATGGCATCCAGGTGTATGAAACCAAAAAATGATGGAGTGGCGTGCTACAACTGTGGCTCAACGAAGCATCAACAGAGATTTTGCAAAAATGCCCGCAGTACGGCGCAGGTGACGCCGGATAGCACTACACTATTAATAAACCCCATACCGGCCTACAAGGTTGAAACAAAGGTTTTTGACGTGGAGTTTGAGAGTGTGATAGACTCGGGTTCAGTAATATCGATTACCAAGCGATCTTGAATGTTAATATTTGCAGCCAATCGTTGAAATAAAAAAACAATAAATAATGAACTATTTATTTATACGATTCGACACGGTCAGTGTGTCATCATTCAGTTATTTTTTAAATATTTATACAGTATAACACCAGGAAAAATAAAACATAATAAATTAAGTAAAAAAATTATTTTGAAGTTAAAAAAAAAACTTAATATAATATATTTTATTTTTGAATAATGATTTTTTTCAATTTTTGTGATTGTTTTTCCTGGTGTTATACTATATAAATATTTTTAAAAAAATTAGTGAATGATGACACACCGTGTCGAAACGTATAAATAAATAGTTCATTATTTATTGTTCTTTGAATAAATATTATTTATGCTTTGTAATATCTGAGTATATATTTTGCAATAGTGCACTTTTCAAGTAATTTTAGATTAGTTTATTATTATTATTTTTATTCTTAAACTATTTCAAATGGTTTACTTAGATAAATTATTATGCTTGACTGTATAATCAACTGAATAAAAGCAATGATGTTATCTGAAACACATGGATTTATAATAATTTTCAAATATAAATAAATATTAAATATTATGCACAAATAAATATAGAATTTTACCCACATATTTTTACTTACGTGATTTTAAAAATATATTTTTGTATTTTATGAAAAACGGTATCGTTTCGAGACATTCTATGGCCTCATAAAATTGGCAAAATATTCAGGTAAAATCTGGTTGCTCCGATGTCCGCCAGAACTGCGAAAATCATTTTAGTTAGAACTATTAATTTGTATCATTTTACTACGAATCTTCATAAAAATTTTCAAGCCGGGTGTTAATGATTCTTTACTGTTAATGTATCTAATGCTTGTTGAAGCATATAATAGGCGATGTCTTGCAAATTCGAAAATATGGCTCATGATATCATGTTTCATCTTTATTTTGTATCTGCCTCTTGCTGATTCCATAATAAATCTTCCGATTGCTTCCATAATGAACTGCCTAGTGGATGGGTATGATTATCGTGTGTTGTGTGTGTGTGATTTCACGACAGCCGTACGAGGCACGAGCGCAACACTCGCTCAGTTAGAATTTGAAAACTCACTGATATGTATCAATTGGTGTGTAGTTGATAATTTCCAATAATAGTTGATATTTAATCATATTATTAATTTAAGGTAATTAATACATTGAAAATTCAGCATTCAATCAAGATTAAATCAGAAGTAGCATCAAGATAGAGTTCTTTCACTCGGACTGGAATAATATAGTAAGGTAAGGCAAGACATATTATTTATAAGATACACGATCAATATTTTACTTAGTATAATAAATATTTTACACAATTATACTTATCTTAATTTATCCTTATTAAATATTAACCTTTTATTTTTAGAGTATCTTCTTTGTACCATTTCATATTGTTACAAAAATGGATGTTTTGTCAAGCACGATGACTGGCAATTTTTCTGGTGTTTCTAATTGTGCTTTAGAATATAGTAATATCGAAAACTCATCAATGAGTGTTACAGACAAAATTCCGACGGACAATAT